TGAGGCAGGAGTATAACCTGAGCCCAGGAGTCAAGGGTATAGTGAGCTATGACAGCGCCACTGCAATCCAGCCTGGGCAACAGAGCAAGATCCTGTCTCTTAAAAAAAGGAAGACAGGATTCAGTTAAAAGAAATATTCTGTAAGAAAGTTATTAGAGCAGGGATACAAAGAGTAATAAGCATAGATAAAGGAGGATGGTGACTGGGGGATGAACAGACAGACCTGGGAATTGACAGACAGAGATGAATGAAGGCACAGGTGACTGGGAATATATACCTAAGGGAGGGGGCTATGAAAGATTAAGAGGCAAAGGGATTTGAGAATTGAAGGGACAAACAAGGAATTAACTGGCCTCCAAATTCTGAATGTGACTCTAGAAAAAAAAGAAAAATGGGAGGGAGGAAATCACCAATGAAAAGGGCCCCTGGCTTCTCTCTGAGACTTGATTTGACTAGTCACAGAAAACCTAGTCCACATTTTGCCTACCTTAGAATAATTCCCCAAGTGTCTAATTAGATAACAGAATAGCTTGACAATAATTCTCAGTTAGCAATCATAGTACTACCATGCTCTGAGCAGGTCATTTCCCCTGTTTCCTTTATATTTCCAAGATATAAAGATGAAGTAGCCTATCCAAAGAAAGCACTTGATAGTAGTTTATAAACTTAATTTCAAAATAAGGTGTATTTAAAGAATATACCTTGATATGTCTTCCCATCTATTTCAACTTCATAAGATTCCATAACTTCTTGGATGGCCTCACCAACATCACACAGACGAACATCAATTCCAGCACACTAAAAAAATAATGTATACTTTGTTATTGCAACCAACTTAATTTCTTAATATTTTAAAATAAGGGACTCAGAAAAACTGCTTTGAACATAACTTTCTATATAACAGACTTTGGGGAGGATTCTGGGAAGATGGTGGAATAGTAAGCACCAGGAATCTGTCTCCCCACCTAGACAACTGCACTGGCAGAATCTGCCTGAGGTAACTACATGGGAATCTGGAGTCTACTGAGGGCTGCAACTTACAGGGGCAGGATCAGATGGTCAAGTGCAGTTAATTTCCCTCAGTTTTAGCTCTTAGCATAGTAGCAGTGCTACTACATCCCATACTATAAACTCTATGGCTGGCACATGTTCCTGGAGCAACCTGCACATAGCCTGGGGGAACCAGGGTAAGGAAAACAGATCTTCGTATGAGGGATCTATGCTCTGATACCCGGTTGCTGCTGCTGCATTGTTTTTTTTGTTTTGTTTTTTTGAGATAGAGTCTCACTCTGTTGCCCAGGCTAGAGTGCCATGGCATCAGCCTAGCTCGCAGCAACCTCAAACTCCTGGGCTCAAGCGATCCTCCTGCCTAGCCTCCAGAGTAGCTGGAACTACAGGCATGCACCACCAAGCCCGGCTAATTTTTTCTATTTTTTAGTAAAGATGGGGTCTCACTCTTGCTCAGGCTGGTCTCGAACTCTTCAGCTCAAGTAATCCTCCCACCTCAGCCTTCCAGAGTGCTAGGATTACAGAAATGAGCCACCGCGCCCAGCCTGGTTGCTGCTTGTAATCACAGAGGTGCAAAGAGGTGGGTGGCCATTGTTGTTGCATCTCCCCTTATAGTTGCAAACCCCTGCCACTCACTACCTCTCTGCCTAAAGTGACTTCAGGAAAATTTAAAAGGCCAGCACCTCTCCCTCCCTTGCTTCATTTTTTTCTTTTTCCCCTTTTGGGAGCCAGACATTAAAGACTAGGACATTCAAAAACAACTGCATATGTGAGAGAAATTCAAAAGTGAGCACACATGCCCAGGGAAAGGTGCAGGCTCAGACAAGACCTGAGAACACCTTAAGTTTACACCTCAGGTGGATTCTTATAGGCACAGAGACAGCCTACAAGAATAAAAAACAAAACAAAACTAAAAACCCACCAGCAAATCCTGGTGAAGAGGGAGAATGTGATTTCCAGAGTTACCATATTATATTCAAATATGTAGTATTCAACAAAAAAAATCACAAGGCATGCAAAGAAATAGGAAAGAACACACCCATTCAAAGGGAAAAAAAAATCAATAGAAACTCCATGAAAAAGACCCAATGGCAGATCTAGAAAAACAACTCTTCTATAGAAGCTTAAAGAATTAAAGGAAGAAGTTTAAAAAAAAAAAAAAAAGTATAAGCCAAATGAAAACATCAAGAGCTAGAAAACCTAAAAGAAACTAAAATTCTGAAGCTTAAAAGTATAGTAACTGAACTAAAAAAATCACTAGAGGAATTCAAAGACATTTGAGCAGAGAGAAGAAAAAAAATCAATAAAAATAGGACAAGCCAAATTATCAAGTCTGAGGAACAAAAAGGAAAAAGACTGAAGAAAAGTGAAAAGAGCCTCAGGGACCTATGTATCAAGTGGACCAATATGCACATTATGGAAGTCTCAGAAGAAGAGAGAGAGAGAAAGGAATAGAGAGAATATTTTAAGAAATAATGGCTGAAACTTCATAAATCTGATGAAAATTATGAATATAAATGTCTAAGAAGTTCAAAGAACTCCAAGTAAGATGAACTCAATGAAATCCAAACCAAGACACATTATAATTAAACTTTCTAAAAGGGAATCTTGAAAGCAACAAGAGAAGTGACTCATCACATATACGGGATCCTCAACTACACTATAGGCAGATTTCTCATCAGAAACTTTGGAGGCCAGAAGTCAATAGGGTTACACATTGAAAGTGCTAACTAAAAGGAAAAAAGTTATCACCCGAGAATCCTATATTTGGGAAAACCGTCCTTCAAAAGCAAGGGAAAAATTAAGATATTCTCAGATAAACAAAAACTTGAGAAGGAGTTCATTACTATTAGAAATGCCCTGTATGAAATGCTCAAGGGAGTCCTACAAAGTGAAATGAAAGGATGTTAGATAGTAATGTGAAATAAAGATCTCAATAAAGGAAAATTAATGGGCAATTATAGCAACTAGCATTATTGTAACCACAGTTTGTAACTCCACTGTGTTTTCCACACACCTTACTTTTAGTCTAAAAGCTGGTGTTATTGATAACTTTGGTTTTTAACTCCATATTCTGTTTTCTATATAATTTAAGAAATTAATATTTAAAAGAATTATTAGTTTATGTCTTTGGGTATACAACATATAAGAATGTAATTTTCTGACATCAACAACTGAAAGAGGTGGGGATGGAGCTCTAAAGGAGCAGCATTTTGAGTTGTAGAAAGGAACTAAACACTTCACTACAAAAAATCAACTTAACACAAAGATAATAATGTAAGAAACAAGGGACAAAAAACTGTAAGGTATGTAGAAAACAAATAGCAAAATGACAGAAGTCCTTCCTTTTCAGCAATTACTTTAAACGGAAATGGATTAAACTCTCCAATCAAATGAATTAGTAGAATGGATAAAAACCCATGATCCAACTCTATGCTGTCTACAAGAGATTCACCTTAGATCCACAGACAAAAACAAGTTGAAAGTGAATGGATAGAAAAAGATATTTCAAGCAAATAGTAACAAAGAGAGCAGGGGTGGTAAATATCAGACAAAATAAACTTCAAATGAAAAGAGTACAGAAGACAAAGAAGGAAAAGATATATTACTAATAAAAGGTTCAACACAGCAAGAAGATACAACAATCATAAGCATTTACACACATAAAAACAGACCATCAAAATCTATGAAGCAAAAACTGACAGAATTGAAGGAGAAACAGTAATACAGTAATAGTTGGAGACTTCAATACCACACTCTAAATAATGGATAGAGCCACCAGACAGAAGGTAAGTAAGGAAACAGAGGACTTAACACAATAAATCAACTAGATCTAACGACGTATACAGAACAATCTACCAAACAACACAGCATATACATTCTTTTTGCACATGGGACACTTCCCAGAATAGATTATATGTTAGGCCACAAATTAAGTCTCGACAAATTTTAAAACACAGATATCATACAAAGTATGTCCAACCATAATGGGGGGGGGGGAGGTGTCAGAAATCAATAACAGATGTAAAACTGGAAAATTCACACAATTGTGAAAATTAAACAACACACTCTCTTAAACAACCAATGGATCAAATAAGAAATCACAAGGGAAAGCAGAAAAGGAAAACACAGTATACCAAAAATTAAGGGACATGGTGAAAACACTGCTAAGAGGGAAACTTATGGCCATAAATGCTTATATTAAAAAACAAAACAGATCTCAAATCAACAACCTAATGTTACAACTTAAGGAACCAGAAAAAGAAGAATAAACTACACCCAAAGCTAGCAGAAGGAAGTAAATAACAATGAGAGCAGAGACAGAGAATAGAAAAACTGAGAAAAATCAATGAAACCAAAAGTTGGTTCTTTAAAAACATCAACAAAATCAATAAAGCTTTAGCTAGATAGACGAAGAAAAAAAAGAGTAAACTAAAATTACTGAAGTCAGAAATGAAATTGAAGACATTATTGCTGATTCTATAGGAAAAAAAGATTCTAAGACAGAATTATGAACAACTAACTGGAGGTAACAATTGGATTACCTAGATAAAATGGACAAATTCCAAGACACAAAAAACCTACCAAGACTAAACCAAAAAAAAACAGAAAATCTGAACAGACCTAGAAGTAGTAAGGAGACTGAATCACTAATCAAAAATCTGACAAATTTTAAGCCCTGGACCTGGATGGCTTCACTGGTTAATTTTACCAAACATTTAAAGAACTAATACCAATCCTTCTCGAACTTTTGCAAAAAAATCAAAAAAGGGCACACTTCCTAACTTCCTAATTTATGAGACCAACATTACCCTGACACCAAAACCAGACAAAGACACTACAAGAAAACTACAAACCAATATTCCTTATCAACACTGGTGCGAACCTACTGCAAACCTAATTCAATAGGATATTGACTTAGTGGGACTTATTCCTGGAATGCAAGGATGGTTCAACATACAAAAATGGATCAATAGGCCGGGCGCGGTGGCTCACGCCTGTAATCCTAGCACTGTGGGAGGCCGAGGCGGGCGGATTGTTTGAGCTCAGGAGTTCGAAACCAGCCTGAGCAAGAGCGAGACTCCGTCTCTACTAAAAATAGAAAATAAATTAATCGGCCAACTAAAAATATATAGAAAAAATTAGCCGGGCATGGTGGCGCATGCCTGTAGTCCCAGCTACTCGGGAGGCTGAGGCAGAAGGATCGCTTGAGCCCAGGAGTGTGAGGTTGCTGTGAGCTAGGCTGATGCCATGGCACTCACTCTAGCCCAGGCAAAAGAGTGAGACTCTGTCTCAAAAAAAAAAAAAAAAAAAAAAAAGGATCAATAACTACACATTAACACAACGAACAGAAAAAATCCACATAATCATCTCAATCGATGCAAAAAAAAGCATCTGACAACTTCAATACCCTTCCATGATGAAAAAAGATTGAACAAACAAAGAGAAAGAAACTACCTCAATAAAAACCACCTATGAAAAATCTATAGTGAACATCATATTCAATGGTGAAAGACTGAAAGCTTTTCCTCTAAGATCAGGAACAGAAAAGGAAGGATGTCCACATTGACCATTTTCACTCAACATAACACAAAACAATTAGCCAAGAAAAACTAAAGACATCCAAACTGAAATGGAAGAAGTAAAATTATCTCTGTTCACAGATAATGTAATCTTACATGTAGAAAACTCTGAAGATGCCAGAAAAAGTGTTACAATAAATGAATTCAACAAAGTACAGGATACAAAGTCAACACACAAAAATAAGTTGCATTTCTATATATTAACAATGAACAATCTGAAAAGGAAATTACAAAAACAACTCCATTTATAATACCCCCCAAAAGAATAAAATACTTGGAAATAACCAATGAGGTAAAAGACTTGTACAACGAAAACTACAAAAAGATCGCTCAGGCCAGGCGCCATGGCTCACGCCTGTAATCCTAGCACTCTGGGAGGCCGAGGTGGGAGGCTCTTTGAGCTCAGGAGTTTGAGACCAGCCTGAGCAGGAGTGAGACCCCCATCTCTACTAAAAATAGAAAAATCAGCCAGGTGTGGTGGTGCACGCCTTATAGTCCCAGCTACTTGGGAGGCTGAGACAGGAGGATTGCTTGAGCCCAGGAGTTTGAGGTTGCTGTGAGCTAGGCTGATGCCATGGCACTCTAGCCCAGGTGACAGAGCAAGACTCTTGTTTCAAAAAAAAAAAGAAAAGATTGCTCAAAGAAATTAAAGACATAAACAAAATGGAACCATCCGATGTTCATGGACTGAAAGACTTACTATTATTAAGATGCCAATACTACCTGGAATCATCCACAGATTCAATGCAATCCCTTACCAAAAGTCCAACTGTCATTTTTTTTGCAAAAAAAAAAAAAACCGGCCCAAATTCATATGGAATCCCAAGACATCCTGCATAGTCAAGACAATCTTTAAAAAGATGAACAAAGATGTAGGACTAACACTTCCTGATTTCAAAACTTACTACAAAGCTACAGTAATCAAAAGCTACAGTAATCAAAAGTAATCAAAAGACATTTAGACCAATGGAACAAAGTCCAGAAACAAACCCTCACATGTATCATCTAATGATTTTTGACAAGATCATTCGATAGGGAAAGAACAGTCTATCGAAAACCATGCTAGGAAGACTACACATCCACATACAAAAGAATAAAGGTGGACCCTTACTTAACATCATATAGAAAAATGAACTCAAAATGGACCAAAGACCTAAATATAAGACCTAAAACTATAAAACTCTTAGAAGAAAGCAGAGCAAAAAGCTTCATGACATTGGATTTGGCAAAGATATCTTGGATATGAAAACAAAGGCACAGGTAACAAGAAAAAATAGACAAACTAGACTTCATGAAAATTAAATATTTTATGCATCAAAACACAATATCCACTGGGCATAGTGGCTCACGCCTATAATCCCCGCTACTTGGGAGGCTGAGGCGGGAGGATCACTTGAGGTCCAGGAGTTTGTGACCAGCCTGGGTAACATAGCAAGACCCTGTCATTTAAAAAAAAAAAAAAAAGAAAATGGAAAGAAATTAGCTGGGAAGGGTAGTACACACCTGTAGTCCCAGCAACTCTGAGGCTTAGCCAAGAGGATCATTTACTTGAGCCCAGGAGTTTGAGGCTATAGAGAGCTATAACTGTGCCACTGCACTCTAGCCTAGGTGACAGAGTGAGACGCTCATCTCAAAACACAAAAAATAAACAAACAAAAAAAACTCCAACCCCACAATATCCAGAGTAAAAAGGCAAATGAGAGAAAATATTTGCAAATCATATATCTGATATGGAGTTAATATTCAGAATAAATACAGAACTTCTAAAATTCAACAACGAAACCACTCGATTAATAAATGGACAAATGATTTGAGTAGACATTTCTCCAAAGATGATATACCATCCAAAAAACCTCAGAAAGTAATAAATGTTGGGAAGGATGTGCAGTAACTAGAACCCTTCCTTGCATACTACTGGTGGGAATCTAAAATGGTACAGTTACTCTGTAAAACAGTATGAAGGATACTTGACACATTAAAAATATAATTACCATATGACTGGACAAATCCACTTCTGGGTATGTACCCAAAAAAATTGAAAACAGGATCTTGAAGAGATATTTGTATACCGCATTATAACAGCATTATTCACAATAGCTAAAACCTAAGTGTCCATCAATGGGTGAATAAGTAAAATATGGCACATACATATAAGGGATTATTCTGCCTTAAGTATATAAATTCTGACATATGCTATAACATGGATGAACCTTGAGGACATCGTGCTAAGTGAAATAAGCCAATCACAAAAAGACAAATACTATATTCGGTACTTACAGCAGTCAAAAGTATAAACAGTAGAATGGTAGTTGTCAGGGGCTAGCGGGAGGCGGAAATTGGGAGTTATTGTTTAATGGGCATAGAGGTTCAGTTTTACAACCCGAAAAAAGTTATGAACATGAATGGTGATGGCTGCACAATATCATGAATGTACCTGCCACCAATAAACAGTACACTTAGCATGATTAATACGGTAAATTTTATGTAATGTATATTTTAACACACACACACACACACACACACACACACACAAATAACAGGGAGGGGAAAACAAAAGCTGGGTTGTACCAGGGCTTAGTGGGAAGGGATGGATGAATCAGTTAAGCACAGAGGATTTGGGCGCCGTAAAAATATTGTGTATGATACTAAAAGTGTATACAGGTCATTATATATTTATAAAAACCCATAGAATATACAACACTAAGAGTGAACACACATAAACTATGAACTTCTGAAGATTATGAGGTGTCGATGTTGGTTCAATTATTTTAATAAACATACTTCTCTGGTGGGGGATACTGACAGTGGAGGAGGTTGTGTGCATGTGGGGGAAGGGGATATATAGGAAATCTCTGTACCTTCTGTTCAACTTCGCTGTGAACTTAAAACTGCTCTAAAAATAGTATCAATTTAAAAAAAAACCCAAACACTGCCAATTTGACAGGCAAAAATAGATCCAAACTCTGTTTTAAGACTTCTCTTAAGACTCTCAAAGGGCTTATTACCACTGATCTATACACTTAAAAATGGTAAAGATGCTAAGCCATGTATGTATATTTTACCTCAATAAAAAAAATTTTAAAAAAGACCCTAAGGTAATGGACCAGTTTTTATTCAACTTAATTACCTGAAGACCTTAAACATGCTAAAAAGTGTTCAAAATATGTTAAGTGAAAGGGTGCTTACAGTTCACATACCTTTATTCCAGTATTAGTAGCATCTTTTACAGCTTTTAATAATGTATCATATTTGGGATTAAAAGTGACAGTAAAAGCACAGTCAATAATCCTACCTGAAAGAGAAAATTCTTTAAGTTTACTCATCAGATAGTCAATTTACCTACTTTATTCTATTAACCTTGCTAGTTAACAAGAAAACAGAATAATGGACTGAAAAAGAGTAAAAAGTATACAAAGGATTTTCATATCACTCCCAGACCAATTCAGTGTTCACCCAGGAAGTTATACAAACATATAAATGTAGGAGAGAGAAAATGTACAGGACCCAAAGGGCCCTAAATATAGTGCTACTTCTCCAATTTAGTAAAACTTCACATAAGTAGTTATCTAAGCTAGCTTTTTTGCCTGTTAAGTAAGATAACAAAGTATTTACCTGACAGGGTTTGGGGTAGAAACTAGAAAAGCAAACATGTATAAAAAGGTTGATAAACTTAAAAGTTCTACATAAATGTTATCGTTATTATTCAAATAAATGATGTATGAAACAATGACCCAGTTAAGCAATGTAGGATTATATTTTTCATGCCTTGAGACAAAGGTAATAAACCTCACTTACCCAACAGTTTTCGTTTTATTCCACTTACTAGAATGCTTTAAAGTAAATCTTAAAATCAGACTCAAGACTGCTCTTGAGGTAAGTAAGGAGGCAAGAACGAAATTTGGGAGTTCAGCATTTATAGCTCCACCTAATAGATAAAAAGTAAGAGTTTTTGGGGGCACTTGGGGGTGGCAGGAATTTCTTCCAAGAACTCACCGCTTATATGTGTTCCAAAATCTATCTTACAGATGTCGTCATATTGTAATACTGTTGTGTCACCAGCATTGGGAGTATAATGGGCAGCACAGTTATTGAGAGAACATCCAGTAGGAAAAGCCAAGCCTGCATTTAATCCATTCTCTTTTATCAACTTGCGCGAACAGTCTTCCAACTTTTCACTAAAATAAAAAAGAAAGAATTTGTTTGCTTTTACATTCTTACCCTTATATACCTTATATATAAGGTATCAAGTCCAGAAAGTTTGCTAAAATTCTTAAATTATTTTCTGGGAATGATCTGAGCACTAACTTTCTGAATGTAAATAAATAACATTTCTCTGATGCTATGAAAATAGCTCATCTCTAAAAGACAAGGATTCCACCAGAAATCTGGAGAAGACACCACCCACTTTTAACTTAGCTTACTGGGAGTCTGACTTAGACCAATTTAAATGCTGATTTTATTCATGTTGCATATTTTGACAATTATCTGAATCAAAGAATTAAATTGTCTTTTATTTTATTTTATTTTTTTTTTTGAGACAGAGTCTCACTCTGTTGCCTGGGTTAGAGTGCCGTGGCTTCAGCTTAGCTCACAGCAACCTCAAACTTCTGGGCTCAAGCGATCCTCCTGCCTCAGCCTCCCGAGTAGCTGGGACTACAGGCATGTGCCACCATGCCCGGCTAATTTTTTATATATATATTTTTAGCTGTCCAGATCATTTCTTTCTATTTTTAGTAGAGACGGGGTCTCGCTCTTGCTCAGGCTGGTCTCGAACTCCTGACCTTGAGCGATCCAACCGCCTTGGCCTCCCAGAGTGCTAGGATTACAGGCGTGAGCCACCGCGCCCAGACTAAATTGTCTTTTATACTAATCATTTCTCAAAAGGAAAAATCAGGGAAATAATTACTTTTATTGGCTTCTTCACTTCATTATGTTTTATCTGTAAGAATTTTTATTTCTTATTATGAATTGTTAGATGGCAAAATAACAGATTTCCAGATAGAAAATAACAATGAGTAATAAGTGCATGTGCACAAAATAGGGTGGTTGAGGTACAAATGTGTGCTCCTCTTATAGTTTTCTCATTACAGTGACACTACAACAAATTAGAAGATATTTCTACAACCTTTACTTAAAATAAACGTGTAGTAAAGTGGTAACGAAAGCCAAACATTACAATTGGAGAGTTAGTATTTATAAAAAAAATTTTTATCATGCTCTTACAAAAACATATTCCTTTTACCAGATTTCTATCATTGTCATCCCAGGCTTGATCCAGCTCATAACATATTTTCTAACTTGTCAATGTGCTTTCGCAGCTTCTTGAAAATCATTCCAAATCTCTTCACTAGCCTGATCTAATGCTTTCTTTTCTTCACTTGTAGTTCTCCAAGCAGCTGTTCGCCTTTAGATTAGGCATAGCATTAAGTGTTAGTCATTTTAAAAACAGAAGAACAAGCATAAAAGCCAAAGGAGATAATATACTAATATAAGACATTATAATATACTAATACAAGACATTTTAGATAAAAATACACTACAAATTCAGTTTATGTCAACAAAGTTTCTGAAATAAAGTCATACACTTGCAATCAACCCAAATCAAGGTAAACGTTTTGTAACACTAAGGGGGAAAAATCCTAAGTGAGATTTCATTCACAGAGGAACTAATACACTGCCAACATAAAATGACAAGAAAGGAAAGAATCGGAAGAGTCCTAGAAACAAAGCAAGTGGAAAAAAATGTCATCCTTCCACTTGAGGTAATATATACTGAAGAGTCATCAAAACAGCACAACAATTTATATCTAAAACTTTGCCAACAGGGTAAATATAATACTAATTCAAAGACCTAACCTGGAAATTTGCATATACTTCCTCAAAACACATAATATGTGCTTGTGCATGATCTTTCAAATTGGATATATATTAGAGATAATCTTCCTTGAAAGATGTGGCTCAGGTTTTGAAACCTCCAGACAGAAATTTATATTCAGTATCTGGGAATGAGATCCAAATACTTTAAGCAGTATGTTTTCAAAAACATTTTTTCAGAATAAAAATCTTTTAAAAATGTTACAACTTTCACACATTCTTAAACAATATTGAATATATAATTCACAACTCAGTGATCACTGTGGTATAAATTACAGTTAAGTATAAAAGTGATACCTTCAAATAATTACTCTATTTTTGCCTCTAAGCCAGTGGAGAGCAAACTATATCCTGCAGACAAATCCAGGCTGGTGCCTGTTTTGTAAAAAAGTTTTAGTGCAATACAGCTGTGCTCATTCATTTATGTAGTCTCTACAGCTACTTTCATGCTACAATGGCAGAGCTGAGTAACACTCAAGGCCTAAAACATTTACCCTATGGTCCATTACAGAAAAAGTTTACCCAACTCTGCTGTAAACTATAGGCTCCTTCAGTTAATGCCCCAAAATGCTTTCTGAGTTTTTCTGTGTGTCACTGTCCAGTTTTCACTATGATTACTTCCTGCTGCTGCGACTTGTATGCCAACATCTAGCACCTCTCATGTGATACAAAGGCCCAAAGAAGCTGTCCTATGTGACTCTATGGTATAGGGGTACTATACTTACGCATCACAGAAATTTCTTTGGCTTGTTTTCTTTCGGAAATGTATTTTAGGTCTATCTACTAATGTTATCGTATAATCAAATATTACAGTACCATCCATTTAAAGTTAGTTTTAAACTTCCTAAGTATTTAAATGTATATGAATTACTTACAGGAATAGTAAAAACTCAGGCAACTTCTAATCAAGGATTCAAAGAAACACCCTATTATCTACACATAAGATCCTCAGACTAGAAAGTAATAGGATAAGATTCTTTAAAGAGTATATTCTCAAGAAGTAGTTCAACTTCTTCAATTACGATAAACTGACAGTTGCTGGCTCCATGCTGGGACAGATAAGCTAAGTTATAAGGGCGCCACAATCCCCTGACCTGACCTCTAGCAGTAAACTCAATCCTTTCTCTCCCACTAATCCAAAATCTTTCCTAGGAACTAAGAATCCAAATGTTCATTTTCAGGCATAAGGGTACTAGTTACATCCCAAGATCAATTTTTAAACAAAATGTATAATTCTTTATCTCTAACATGGGCCATAATTCTAGCACATATACTGTAGCTGCACTCAGTAGTAAAGGTTGAAGCACCACCTGCCTCAAAAGTCAAAGGTTTTGTGAAAAAGTAAAAACATTACCAAATATATACTCTAGACACAGTTCTCTTCACAGAGAACTGGCAAGTATCATGCATCTAGGGCTATGAAAGTGGAACTGGTCATTATAAATTCTTATTCCTGCCCTTCCCCCATTCAACTGTCAGAGTCTTCAAATCCACTTCTTAAAGATTACAATGTTGAGTATAATTCAATTTCAAATGCTGTTTTACTACATTTTAGAATTAGAATATGATATAATAAAGATCCCCAATACTGAAATCAATAGATCTCACAAATATCTTATACTTCTGAAAGTAGCATGGCTGACTCTTAGAAGCAGTTATCACTGCTTTAAGTACCAGTCTTCAAAAGAATATGGAATCATCTGCCATCAGCAGTAAAGAACTAGCAATCAGAAATGGGATTAAAGAAACTCTTTTGCTGAAAATCTTGAGTTCAAATTTAAAGTTATTAATAATACTTGAGAAACCTACTGTCAGTGTCTGTAATTATAATTCCAGGCTCAAAAGAAGGACAAAGAATATTATTTCCTACATTTGATCTGTTGATGTTCAGTCTATTTAACAAAGTATAGAAATTAAGATATGATAAAAGCATAATTACCATTGTGAGTATGTAATAATTAACCAAAAAGGTAATTAATTCATCCAACTGACAGAGGCAGGGCAGAAATGCTTTTTAAATATATTATGATGTCTGCAAAACAAAACTAACAAAACAAATGTTGGAAAGATAATCTTCATAGGAAGTGTTTACAACATATATAAATTCCTCCCACCTCTTTGAGATTTCTTTTCCATATTTTATCATTTTTACCAGTG